TCTGTTTTGAAGTTTGCTGATCAAAGTCCTTGGCTATTTTGAAACACAATTTGTGTTTTCTTGATATTTTCAGGCATTTTCATATTTGCTCGACAATCACATTGCCAACACTGTCATCACAAACACTACCAGTTCTCCTGAACTTTTCAACCAGATTGTTGATTGTTGTAACACTAGGACCATTTGTCTTCTGCTTGTATTCAGTCACAAATTTCTTTTGAGCTGCATTCAGGCTGTTGTTGCTCGAACAGTAAGCCTTGATGAAGAATATATGCTCAGAAATGATATTTTGACATTAAAAAAAAAAAAAAAAAAAAAAAAAAAAATACAAATATGCATGCTCAAATAAACTCTCAACACGCCCTGCATTTAACTGCCAAGTTTTAACTGAATCTCTCCAATGGTTCAAAAGTTATCAAGTTTTTCTGCATATAGCTCAATAATTTTCACACTGTAGCAACTATATCTCCATTTACTTCAGGTAATATAACTTTCAATAGAGCATTTATCGCAACTCTACAAGCATTTACTTTTCCCTTAAAAAATAAAAAGTGGGAGAAAAAAAGAAAGTGGTTAGAAAAGAAGTGGATTCCACTGTTAGAGGATTCTAGGTAAACATTTCTTTAACTCTTTCATGACAGCGCACCTTTGTTTAAGATGCTCGTGCGGGACGGAAGGGAATCGAACACAGTCACCGTACAGGACAGATGTTTTGCATCATTAAGTCTAATTTTAGAAAAATCAGGAAAAAAAAAAAAAAAAAAGTTTCACTTCTAGCATCGTAATTTTTGGTATCATTTTAGATTATTACTTGAGCTCTTATATATGTTAAAATTAGCACTTATGAACCTTTTTCCTTTATTTTACATGAAAATGTACTTAAAAAATTGCTTATCTTGTAAAATAATTTTCGGAAGTGCTATTCAAATTATTCCAAACTTTTAATTGATAAAATCCATCAATAAAGTTTAAAATTAATAAAACAATACAATAAAGACTACTTACAGTAAAAAATAACAAAATTTAAAATGAAGACCGAGTGTGGTAAATCTCGAAGCATGGAGAAGTATCACTTTCTAACTCTTTAGAAAATGAATCATCACGCTCATCTGTGTTAGTAAATGGTTCATTAACCATACAAGGATATTCTTCCTCTGATAAATAACACCTTCCCACCATAATAGACTGGAGGTGAGGCTTTCCAAAACAAAAAGAGAAGAAACAGGAATATATCTGAAGGCAATGCGAAACGTAACAGAACTCCAAATAGTAACCCTAAAAGACCATAGATAGTAAAGGAAAAAATAGAATAAAAAAAGGAATTGGATATAAATCAGACACATGAATGTTTGTATTAGCACACAGCGATTTAAAGAGCCCACTTCTGTTTACGCTTTCCCTCTTCCCCTCACAACAGTTGATGAGTAAAATACCAAAGTCAGGCAGAATATATCAAACTCAAGGTCAAGAACCTAAAACTGTGTTCATTTCAAAAGTAATGGATATAGGATGCCATCTAGTGGTCTTCAGAAAAAGCGTTCCAGCTTAAAATGCGTATATGCATCACCCGTCCTCTGAATGCAATCTCTAGTGATGCATGGATGGAACGCCTGGCTGTAAGAGACATTCTCAGGGAATGCGTATATTAGGGAATACGTTCTTAGGGAATGTATGTGTATATACGCTTGTCCTGAAAGGGTTAAAGATAGCTTGAAAGAGTTACACATGTTTCAAAATTTTCTTATTTCAGGTTTATACAACTGTTGGGATTGTTTCAAATTTCCCTTTCTTTTAGAACTCTTTTCAAGATAATAATAAATATCAACAATTTGGTCATACACATTTATTTGTAAATAAGTTGCCAATTTTTCAGCTGCTAAATTTGTGACAGGTGCACTTCATAATTTGAAAATCTGAATTTTCCTTTTTTAAGATGCCTGCAACACCAGTCTTCAAACCTCCCACTACTGGTGCATTGCCGGCACCAAGTGCTAAGCAATTATCCAGAGGAATAGCATTTCCTTTTAAAGCTTTAATAATTCATTTTGCTACATTAAAACCTGTCAAATCTCCTTCTAAAGTGAGGACAGTATACTATACTCAATTTTTGAACACTGCATTAAGAAAGAAAACAACAACTGGATACAGTTTTGCATCAGTATTATTGCTTTCATCTGTAGAGAGGCAGAATGGAGCTGTTGTAATGTGACCAATAACTGAAAATTTATTTTTCATATCCATTTCCTTAATAACTGAAGCCATTTTTTGCTTGCACTTAATAATTTCTTAGTGATTTTGCTATTATTATTATTAATTTTCTAAATAAAGTTGCAGCATGATTCAATGAATTCAGTGGCAGGTTGTGCTCCAGTAAAAAATCAGAGAACAGGCATTCTGCATTAGAAACTTTTTGGTCCTCTGGTTCCAAAGAAATTTTTCTTCCTCCCCCCAACTCATGTCATACATCTCATGTTGTCCTTGTGTTTTTGTGTATGCACGTGTTTCAGATCATTGGCCCTTCCACTGTATGAAACTGAAAAATAGCAACAACAAACGGTACATGTCGCAAATGTATTATATATTCCTGACGAAATAATAGAAGGAAAGTCATATATGTAGAGAAATTGTAACAATAAGTGAAAATCAGGAGGACAATATCATAAATCTGGTTGGCGGAGGTACGGTTGGAAATCGGGAATCTCCCCCCTAAATCGGAAGAGTTGGCAACTTTGGAATAGTTTATACTATCTTACTTAACTCACTTCCTCTGCTATAAGCTTCACAATAAACTGCTGATCTAGTGCCAATACATATTGTATTCATTTGATCATGACTTGTTTCTGCTTGTCGACAGTCAAATTGAACAAGGCTCAACCTGCCATTAATAAGTTGTAAATACATTTGTCTCGTACATTTGCATTATCATTCATGCAACTTTCTTTTGAAATTTATAGCAGAAGTTGATGTTCACCCAGCACTACAACACTACCTCTTATACTGACTATATTTGCAAGCAGAAGGTTTACCCTGATAGCCACTTGTATTCCATGTTATGTGATGCTTTTTCATGTGTCTTTGGATAGGCATGTGGAAGCCTGGCCCATAATGTTGTAGAGATCTCATATTAGCCACTGAACATTTTAGGCATACGTCATGATTAAATACAGTACAAAGTCTTTAATCCGGACTCGTCGGGACTTCAGCGATTCTGGATAAGGAGTTTTTCCGTATTATAGTTTATCAATTTAAATCCAGTAAGATGGCATGCAGAAATTATAAAATTAAAAATATGAAATTGTAATTTATGAAATAAAGAGCGGTTATGATCTAAAGGGTATCAAAATAAAAAAAAAAAAAAAAAAAAAAAGCTTAATATTTATTTGTTTTCTTTTTTCTTCATTAAACATTTCTTTTCAATGTAAGTTGTTTAAGTTGCTTCATTTTATGTGCTAATACTTTCTCTTTAATTCTATAAACAGACAATTTCTTGTTCAGTTACAAAACTCCGCTGTTCAAATCCTGTAATTGCTCTGTTGAGAATACCTACTAATTTGTCAATCAAAACTTTTTCATTTTCACTAACATCTCTGTCACTTTCTACATGCCTTTATCCATTTTTTTGCAGCAATTCCAATTTTTGTTTGATGGACATCGAAACACGCTTTCGCTTTGTACATCCTTTGGCAGCTCCAGAATCAGAAACTCTTTTTGACATAATCGGAAGTTCAAGCTTACTTTTTATAAAATTGCTCTAACAGTCTGCAAAAAATAATAAGCCGAATCCAATTAGAAGATTAAGGAACAACGCAATCTGCAACATTAACTGAAATAGATAATTAGATAATTTTAGCCTAGCTTATACTGTCCGTTATACATTAAATGTGCATGCGTAAACATATCATGCACATGCATAAAGGTATTATGCACATGCGTAAACGCATAATGCGTTTACGCATGTGCAGAAAGTTTGTAGCTTTGATGTCCGGATTATTGATCATTCCGGATTAAGACTTATATATATATATATATATCTCCGGATTAAAGACTTATATATATACTGTATATATATATATATATATATATATATATATAAACACACACTAAACATTTTAAAAACAGCTTCTTACAGTAATTTGAAAATAACCCCTTAAAAAAAGACCTAAAGATTAAGTAGATCTTTGAAAATCAGAAGCAAAATAAAATGAATCTAAGAAAAGCACAATAATTTCTTATTTGACAGAACAATAGTCCCCAAACTTTTCAAACTCATATATCTCATAGTAACCAATTTCTGTTAAATATATTCTCTATGCTAGGAAAATATTAAAAATAAATCAGAATGAATATTGAAAGTATTACTTTATTAAATTTATATATTGTAACTGTAAGAAATAGCTCAATAATGGCAAACTGCTAATACTCCTCTTCCTCAACAAAGGGAGGGGGGAAATTTCTCCTGAAGATAAGAGACTTATATCTGGTTGCCTTTAAAAATTAATAGATTCTGTTCAAAATCTATGACAATCTATAAGATTTTTCTTTCTTTGCTTGCTTCTTTACTTTCTTTGCTAATTAGTCAATTTTTTACTTAAAGAATTAAGTTTTTATCATATGAATAACATTAAAAAATATTAAGTTGAATCACATGTCATTAGCATAAGGTTTATTTTGCTCATTACCCTTGCAAAAACACTGAAAATGGCACCTGCCTACAAAATGGTGAGAAATTTATCAGTATGACAAAAGAGAAGGAAAACTGAAAATGTTGACAAAGGCACGGAAAATAGTTAAAGTGATTTTAAAATCTCAGAAAATTACATAATGTAATAGGCGACTTTTGAATGTTGTAACCTTTTATCTTACCCAAACTTAACAGTTTAAAAATTTAATTCAAAATAAATATCAATTTATATCTTGGTGCTTAATGTAAATAATGATGTTAATTATTATATATAATAACTTCAAATTTTACAGATATTTAATTTAATTTTGAAACATACTGCTCTTTTGGAAGCTTTCTAGGGCGACCCACTTTCTTACGGCAGCTTTTTTCATTTTCATCTAGAAAAAATATAAATTAATAGAAAGAATTCTCAACTTAAAGAAAACAAATATAATTTACTGTAGTCTTTCAAATTATATAAACTTTATCAAAATGCATATAAATTACAAAATATTAACTACTGTAAACTTTACTCAAAATAACATAGGATAATCTTTTCTATACTTCAAAGTTACAGGGCAAAAAGCTTAATGCTTGATATATCAGGATAAAATGTTTCCCAGGTTATATTGTAATTGCAACTCAATTTATTGTATAATCTTTGAGGTTAGGTTACTTGAATATGGCAAAGCCCACACGGTCTATTTGCCTACGAGCATGACTTTCTAAAGCAAACTGTCTCATACTGATGCTATGCATAGGGAAAACCATGAAAACTAACCATGCAGCCATAGCACATTTGCCTGGAATTAAACCACGGACGAAATCCCAGTATTGAAAGTAGTTGCTAATTGGCCACTGGTGGGGCTATAATCATTGATTAAAAAAAAACTTGCAAGTGATTTATAAAGTACATTCATGGCTTAGACATTTCTTCAAGAAAATAATAAAACTAAGCAGCAAGTAATATAAATAAAATATATATCAAAAAGCAATAAAGGTGAGGAAATGTCAAAAGCGTGTGAATTTTGAATTTCAGAAGAGCTACTTCAGTTTATAGACTGAAGGATAATGCAGATATTTACATAATTTATTAATGACAAATGACTTGAGATAATTGTTTAAGAAATGTAAGCTGTATAAAATTGTGGGGTGCATAGCACATCCATAGTGATGTGTGGGAACTACTCTGATATGCACCCTAAAGTCGCCAAATTTCGTGCCAAATATTTTTGGTGAGAAACTTCACACTGCCATATTACTATCTAAATTTTTTGTCTACATTTCGAACTTTTAGCCTAAAATGTCTCCAAAAACGCGGTTTTCGCACATGCAAAAACTACGTTTTCAACATACAATTTAGCTAAAAATTCGAAACAAAAACAAAAAATTTAGATAGCAAAAACGTAAAGTTTCTAACCAAAAATATTTGACAAGAATCCATGTACACAGCGACATGTTTTAACTTAAAAAAACATCTACGAATGGCACAATGTAGGCAACGTACGAATCTACAAACTACGCACCCTCGCTTTAATAAATTAACATAACAACAATAAATTTCAAAGAATACCATGTACACAGCATCCTGTTTTTAAACTTAAAAAAAATTCTACGAATTGCACAATTTAGGCAAGGAAGGAATCTACGATCTACGCACTCCTCGCTTTAATAAAATAACATAACAACATAAATTTCAAATAATACCACATGTACACAGTGTTCTGTTTCAACTTAAAAAACATCTACAAATTGCACAGTCTAGACACTAAACAACAAAATAAATTAAAATAAATTTCAAACAATTTAAAAAAACAACAATAACGACAGAAATTCATACTAAAGAACCAATGAACATAACATTCTACAAAATAAGAACAAGGATAAAATAAAATGCATTTACCGTGAATTAATGAGTTTTCGAATAACAGAAATATAAATTTCATACCGCCTTTAACATGCCGCCACATAATCACTATCGTATTTACATGACAGCCAGACACACTATCCAGAAAATTTATACTATGGTTCACAAATAAATAAAATTACAAATCCCTACTTCTATCATGCACTGCCATTAAAAATAATCTTCCAGACCCTCTTTCCACACTTCCAAATACCCACTACCCCTCAACAGGATAGACACAATGATATTTCCTTTTGCCGAACTTCAATTCAACAACTACCATTTTATCTTTCCCTCCGGGGATCTTCTCAGACACAGAGGCGAATCAACGAGCTTCAGCGAAAGATTTTTCAACGTCAACAGGGTTGCCATAGAACACGCAATCGTGCCAAAAACCAGCGCAGAACACATATCGCCACATTTGGTGAAATTAGGGCGTATATTAGAGTTGTACCATGATGTGCATTATCACAGAATAAAATTATATTTCCAAAATCAGAGGCCATGTCTGTCTTAGAGTGTCATCTTTCAAACTACACAGTTAAGTCTCTTCAAGTTATAATGCAGAGAACCATCGTCAATCCGTTGCAACTGTCTTTCACCAAGTCATCTTATTACAATAATGGCACAGTATTATATATATATATGCATGTGTGTGTGTGTATATATATATATATATATATATATATGCATGTGTATATAAAATAAAATAAAAAAATATGCATAAAATTCAGCCCATATTTAATTCAGAATAAGCCACATGCAAAAACTCGAAAACAAAAGCACAGTGGCAAACTACAAGAAATTGGCATATTTTGCTCTCTTATTTCTTACAATTGATCACTATGTACTCTTTATTGGGTGTGGGGGGGAAGCTGCATGTGGTTTATTCCAAACTGAATATGGGATCAAGTTTGAACAAAATATTATTTATTTTTTTGCATTATCACCATTACTTGTTGCTGCTAACAGAATGCAACTGGATTAGATTTTGAACTGCTTTTTTTTTACTTTGTATTTATTTATTTATAGATATACAATGAAGTGACAAAAGTCATGGGATAGCAATATGCATATATATAGATGGCAGTAGTATCGCGTAGAAAATGTATAAATGCGAAGTGCTTTGGCAGGGCTTTTATTTGTGTTCAAGTTATTCATGTGAAGAGGCTTTGACGTGATTATGGCCGCATGACGAGAATTAACAGACTTTGAACGCAGAATGGTAGTTGGAGCTCGACGCATGGGTCATTCCATTTCGGATATCATTAGGGAATTCAACATTCCGAGATCCACAGTGTCAAGAGTGTGCCGAGAGTATCTAATTTCAGTCATAACATCCCACCATGGACAGCGCAGTGGCCGACCACCTGCACTTAACGACTGAGACCAGCGACATCTGCGTAGAGTTATCAATGTTCACAGACAAGCAACACTGGGTCAAATAACCGCAGGAATCAATGTGAGACGTACGAGGGACGTGTCTGATAGGACAGTGCAGCGAAATTTGTCTTCCTTGGGCTATGCCAGCAGAAGACCGACTCGAGTGCCTTTACTGACAGGACGACATTGCCTGCAGCGACTCTCGTGGGCTCGTGAGCATATCGGTTGGTCCCTAAACGAATGGAAAACCGGGACTTGGTCAGATGAGTCACGATTTCAGTTGGTAAGAGCTGATGGTAGGGTTCGAGTGTGGGGCAGACTCCACAAAGCCATGGACCCAAGTTGTCAAAAAGGCACTGTTCAAGCTGGTGGTGGTTCTGGGCTGTTTTTACATGGCATGGACTCTGTCCTCTGGTGCAACTGAACTGATCATTGACTGGAAATGGATACCTTCAGCTACTTGGAGATCATTTACAGCCATTCATGGACTTCACATACTCAAACAACGATGGAATTTTTATGGATGACAATGCGCCATGTCACCGAGCCACAATTGTTCGCGATTGGTTAGAAGAACATTCTGGACAATTTCAGCGAATGATCTGGCCACCTAGATTGCCCGACATGAATCCCATCGAACATTTATGGGACATCATCGAGAGGTCAGTTCGTGCCCAAAACCCTGCACCGTCAACACTTTCACAATTATGGACGTCTATAGAGGCAGCATGGCTCAATATTCCTGCAGGGGACTTCCAACGACTTGTTGAGTCCATGCCACGTCGAGTTGCTGCACTTCGCCGGGCAAAAGAAGGACCGACAAAATATTAGGAGGTATCCATTGACTTTTGTCACTTCAGTGTATGTCAGTCCCTGTTACAGTATTTGTGCAGCTAAATAACAATCGCAATGTTTGCTTTTTTGATGTAGATGATAATATATGAATAGTAATAGAAAACATTTGTAGTGGAAACATATAGTAGCTATAGAATTTGAAAATTTTCCTATTTTGCAAAGAATCAATAGCAATGTAAAACAAGAACTTTGTAAACAAAACCTCTACATTTGGATGCATTGCTATGAAAGCTTCAGCACCGTGTTTTGGAGCACCAATGAGAATTAGGAGAAATTTAAAGCTCAAATTTTGTTGTTCTAAGTACAGTCAAAAGTCATTAATTCGGACACCCATAATCCGGACCTCAAAGCTACAAACTTTCTGCGCATGCATCGCGTTGACCTTTACGGCTGCGAATATGCATTCGCGTGCACAAAATACGTTTATGAATGCGCGTTTAATGTATAACGGACGGTATAAGCTAAGCTAAAATTATCTAATTCACTTAATGTTGCAGATTGCGTTGTTCCTTAATCTTCGAATTGGATTTGGCTTATTATTTTTTGCAGACTGTTAGAGCAATTTTATAAAAGTAAGCTTCAACTTTCGATTATATCAAATAGAATTTCTGATATATATTTACTAATATATAAAGGATCTACAAAGAGAAAGTATGTTTCGAAGTCTATTAAACAAAAAGTGGAATTGCTGCAAAAAATGGATAAAGGCATATCCTTTGTTTATCTTTAATGCCGCGGCGTGCAATGAATTGGAAGTTGATCTGTCAGCACTATCCTTATCTTCAGGGCAGATGTTTTTATTTTATTTGGTTTATAATTCCTTACTAAATGTAGTATTTCATCTCGATGTACTCCGTCTTTGATATGATTTAAATCAAATTCCTCGTCATTATAATTCGCTTCCGATAGGAGGTTATTGAAAACGAAAAAATTTCGATTGACAAATTAGTCAGTATTCTCGACACAGCAATTATAGGACTTGAACAGCGGAATTTTGTAACTGAAGAAGAAATTATGTCTGTTTATAGAATTAAAGAGAAGGTATTATCACATAAAACAAAGCAACTTAAACAACTTACATTGAAAGAAATGTTTAATAAAGTAAACAAGTAAATATTAAGCTTTTTTTTTTTTTTTGTAAATTTTGATACCGTTTAGATCATAATTGTTCTTTATTTCATAAATTATGGTTTCATATTTTTAATTTTATAATTTCTGCATGCCATCTTACCAGATTTAAACTGATGATCTATAATCTGGAAAAATCGATAATCCAGAATCGCCGAAGTCCCGACGAGTCTTGATTAACGACTTTTGACTGTATTATGTGACTTCTTCAATGAATGAATTTTCAAACTGGTCATTAAAGGCGACTATTGCGACATGACTGATGCTGCACATAACTGAAATTCTTGCACCGAACAAATTAAATGAAGACAATTAAAATAACACATACATACAAAAACACATGTGGCAAAGGTTTGCTGTATAGCTTTTCTTTCTCAGAAAACTAAATTAAAAATGAACGTACTAGGCAATGCTTGTAACCTCGAAACAAAATTTTCAGGTCTTGTTCCAACTGGTAATGACACATTGTGAACAGAAGCTATATGTTCAGCAACTGCTTCATCAGATGTAGAAAACACCTGGCAAAAAGTACATACATATATGCTTCTTCGTTTGGCAAGCTTTTCTAGGAGAAACAATTAAGAACATTGTTATATTCTTAAATACATGATAAAAATATAAATTAACATTTCAAAAATAAGTATAAAAAATTATATAAATAATTATTTATAAAATTTGTTTTCACTCAGACATAATTAGCATTCTTTAATCCATACAACTGAAATCATCTAAAGCTCAAAATATAATTAATATTGAAATTTCTTTTGTAAATATATGATATAATGCTAATAAAAATTATTAGCATTACAAATGTCAAAGAATTTTTTACTTTATGTCTACTTGATATAATTAGTGAGACATTTAAAAAAAAAAAGAAAAAAAGATGCTTCAAATCTCAGGATAGTAAACATATCAACTTAAAATTATCATTTCTTTCAAAGGAATTGCTTTCCTTAAACAAACTAGAAAAAGCAGCTTGATGAACAAATGAGAATTTTAAGATTGATTACTTCAGGTTTTATGTGAATTCTGCAGTTAACTTTAAGAATAACGTAACAATTTAAAACAGCAGTTTTTGGCAGAATTTTGAAGCATTTCTTTGGCTATCTTTCCGACTCATGTATATCACTTTATAAGAAACAAGAAATTTTATTGGGAGGGAGGAACCTATATAATCAATATTTACATTTTTACAATCAGTGGATATTGTTTAGAAAAGTGTGTTAATATAAAGTATCTAAAAGTACAAACATGTATGTGGTATGCACATGCATGGGTTATTTATTGCCATTTTGAAAATTGAAGATAATTTTAACTGGAGGATGATAATGCTAGAAAAACCAGAATTTTATTTCCTTTAAAGGTTCAGTAATACAAACATACAGCATAAGCAAATAAAAAAATTAGGACCTATATAAAAATATATATAAAAAAATTATAATATATAAAAAAATTAGGACCTATATTTCTATAGGAATAGAAAAATTAAGATGAAAGCAATATTGTGTGTAAGTGATTTATCTAGAGTTAATAATGTAATTTAATAGTTTACAAAATTTGTTATGTCAAAAACTATATTAAAATGAGTTGATCTTTACAATATGGTAACTGGTAGTTTGGCGACATTTTGGAGGCGATAAAGGTTACTACCTGGGACTTTGCTAATAATGTGAGCAGTACTCAGTTCCGATTACGCATTATTTTGTGTGAGGGAAATGAGAGATCATGGGATATGTCATGTGATATTAATGAACGAATTACAGTTCTTTAATCGGAAAAGGGGAGAAATCGGGAAAAAAATCTGGAAATTTTGTATTTGGCTTTATTCTGTGTTGTGTGAAACAGTGTTGGTTAATTTTTCGATCCCATGGCCATAACTAAAGTGAATTCGAAATGGGTATTTAGTGGTATTGAAAAGGGTAGTAATAAATGTTTGTTTAAGGTTGTGCGAGATAGAAATAAAGATGTTTTATTAAGTTATTTATTTTACCTGGTACCTTGCTGTGAAATATAAGTATGATTTTAAAATTTTAAAGAAAAGTTTATCGGACATGTAATCAAGATTCTGAAGAAGATTAGGTAAGTTAGTATTTTTAATTATTTGAGGATATTATTTTTATGCATTGTTCTAAATGTAAGGTGGAAAGGAATTTGGTATTATTGGGAAAATTGTTATTAGCAATGATTTAGTTTAAAGTAATTAGGATTGTAAGGTAATTTTTATTAATTTAATGTATGTGCTCATTTATATTTTAAGTAGTGTTTTTGAATTTAATTATATTTTAATGAAATGAAAGTTATTTTGTGAATTTTATGTTTGTAGGAATTTGGTATACGTTTTAGTTGAAGTAAACGTGCATGGAAATAATTTAAATATCTGACACTAAGTATTTGTAATGGTTGCGGTATGAATTTGTTGGAAAAAAAATTATAATATAATAGATGATTTAGAGGTAAAAGTTTTTGGATATTTTATTTATTTTATATGTGGAAATGTTCATATTTGGAAAGGGTAAATACTTCTTCGCAATCAGGTAATTTCATATATGTTCTTTTTACCGGGTTTAAAGATTGAGAAAAATGTCATGTATTTTCGTGAAATTTTTCTAATTTATGAGAAAAAAGCAGTGTACATGGATATAGTGAAGAGTGTGCGCAATGCCATTTTTGTGCAATTCTGGGATGTTTTTTTAAGTAAAAATAAGTCGGCGTGTACATGGTTTATGTGTATGTGTTATTTTGAAAAACGCGTAAGGAGTATGGTATTGTGCACTTTTTCCCAATTTTGCAGTGAATATTTGTCATGATTAAGCAGTTTTGTTTGATAAAATTTCTAGCATAAGTGTAATTCGGCTAGTAGATTGTTGGAAGAAGTGTTCAGTAGATAAAAAGAAAAGAAACATGTCTTTACTTCGTGAAGACAAAATGGCGGCGGGGGAAAAAAATAGAGGGTTGCTGTAGGAGAGTTGGTTGCCAAATTTTCGCCAAAAAATCGCCAAGTTACCATAATGTAAAGATCAACCTTAAAATGCATTAAAATACATCAAAAATTCTTTTTGTCTTTAAATTTGTTACATACAAAATAATATATGCAATTGGATGCACAATATATACTATTTCTTGATATTAATATATTTAATTACAAATTAAACCTATCAAAAACCTTTTGTTTTTTATTGGAGATCTTTTGTGAGCATGGAATGCTGCAAATTGGGTTACTCATAACAGAAATCTTCTTGAGTATGGAATTTTGCAAAAACAGAGTGAAAATATATTTAGAATAAATTGGCTATAACAATATAAAACACAGTAAGAGCACAGATTTTCAATTCCTTTGCAAAGCTCTGCATAATTGTGTAACATTTGATGTATCAAGAGATAGTTTTAATCAAAGAAATCTTTCTTAAAAAAAAAAAAAAAAAAAAAAAATAGTTACCAAATGATGTGGAATTTGGCACTGATGATGTATCCTTTACAGAAGTTCGGGACTGCAGAACATTTGGTTGTTGGGAATCTGCAAGCAAAGTCAAACAATCACCATTTGTTGGATTATTCTGGACTGTAAGAAAAATTATCTGACTGGTTACAGATTTCTCCATCAGTTTATTTATTAGATGAATTAAAAAAGCAAAATCTTGCACCCATTCATCATGGGACCTCCTAGAAAAATAACAACAGGGAATCATATATAAAAATTGAATATTAAAGTACAATATTAAAATTATTTACTTAATGCATAACTATAAAATTATATTTATTCACTAAATTTCCTGATCTGCCATTAGCTACATATGCATTTGATAGTAAAAACTTTATTTACACAGAACGAATTGTAAAAATGTGACATATGGATAAAAGCAAAGTTTAAAAGCCTACTAACAATTCCAGATTTAATTAAAAATCAAGCCTAGTATTCATGCAACAAATGCTAATGCATTTCAACTTTATCATCTAATAAGTATTACAATAAATATTTATGTCAGAAGTTATAAATTTTTCCCATTATAATGAGATATAAGAAAAAAAATTAACATACATGAATAATATAGACAGATAAGTGATTTTAAAAAGAGAAGACCATGATACTTAATAAATAAAGGTAACACACAAAATATTAAAAAAAGCCCCTTTGGGCATAATATAAAATTCAAATTTTTAAAAATATTTCAAAAGAATATTATAGAATAAAGTTGGAAAAAAAAAAAAAAAAAAAAAAAAAAAAAAAAAAAAGAAAAATATAATTTGACTAGAAGCAAATAATACTGTAAAAAATTAGAACAGTATAAAGATAGAAAGCACCAGACAGAAACCACAGAAACAAATGTGCTAAATAAAAAATAATTAGGCAAATTAATATTCACTTAATATACGTTAAAACCCATGAAACAGCAAAACTGCTAAAGTTAAAACCATAGAACCATCATTATTGGAGCAGATTTATGATAGATTAAAAAATGATTAAAAAAATAGATGATAGATTAAAAAAAAATTTTAATTTTATTCTATATCATTCATTTTAAATCTCATTAAAAATATTTTTAATAACCTTATTTCTGTTGTAAATTTAAAAAAAAATTTTTTCAGAATTTTTAGAGATCCAGATATGATTCAGGCCAGTTGAAAATTTTTCAGCTACTCCTTGAAAATTACAAAGAAATTTTCAGTTATTTTATATATTTTTTTATTTGTTTTTGTTTTGATTTGTGTACTTCTTAGAATGTTAGTTACCTACTTTTGATTATTTAATTAATTTTGCAGCACATTGCATGACTTTAATAATCTTAATTTCAACATTTCTTAAACTTTGGCTTAACTTTTACATCTATCTATTGACCTATCTCTCTCTCTCTATATATATATAAATAAATATTAAAAAAAATTGCTTAAAAGCCGATTTTTAAGTCCTCAGAAGATGAAAACCAAGGAAACAATTTGGCATCAAACAGAATATTATTTCTAACTTCTGAATAATAATTAAAAAAAAAAAAAATATAGTTTTTACATTATTAGATAAATTATAATAAATTTAAAAAAATGCTTACAGGGAGAAATAGACTCGTATGCAAAATTAAGAAAATCTGCACATTACAACAAATTTCTCAAAAGCTAGTGAACAGATTTTAATGAAATTTAATACGAATATATGTTTATAACAGAGAAAGAGAAGTATCATTCAAAAGTCACTTGATGAACACATGATTATTAGTAGAGCTCAGAATGCAAGGATGTCTAAAATCCACAAATTAATATCGAATTGAAAAGAAATCTAATATAAGGTATAGTCCCCTCTCATAGACAAACAGATCGGGCAGCGCGAAGACATACCAAACAAGAGGCAGTTGAGGATTCCCTGTGCCAGTCGATCCCACTCCTGGTGCAAGGCAATTTTCAGCATCAGGATGGCAAGGTGAAACTGGCCTTTCAAGAGCATCTCAGATATGCTCTTTAGGGTTAAGGTCAGGAGATCTGGCTGGTCAATCCCTGCAGTGAATATTCTCACTTTCCAGATAATCATCGACTAGCTAAGCCCAATATGGATGAGCGCTATATTCCAACTGTGTTTCTGAAAAGTTGAACATAGGGCTCTTAGATCTCCAGTCTATACCTCGTAACATTCAGAAAGCCTTTCTCACACACATGTAGGAAACACATACAGGGGTTACAGCTATCTAACACAATACCTGCCCAAACCATTACACTTCCACTATGTGATGATCTTTTTCCCTGATAAAGGAGACAAGGTATCACATTCCAGGCTCCCTCCTGATACACATATGCTGAGAATCAGTGTCCAGGCTGAATCTCGACTTACTGTTAAAAGCATGTTGCTGCAATGAAGTTTGGTCGAAGGGGCATGTTGTGTGCACTATCCGAAACGGAGAATTTGTCATTTCAATTCTCGTAAAGCGTTCACTATATCTTTTCCTGCAGATGGTAAAGTAACGAAAAGTTAATAAAAAAACATTCAGTTTTACTTAGAAGATTATTAAGAAATGAAGAAATGTATGTGAACTACTGTGACGGAGGTTTTGATTAATCTGCAAAAGAAAGTAAAGCATGATTAAAAATATTGAGCCATAAAATGAAATTTTATTACCTTTATTATTCTGTACCTATAAATATCTCTTAGTTGCAATATATCTATTATTTAGAAACATTTATACCATATCAACAGATGACAGCAACTCGAGTGAAAACTTCATAACTTTTTGGAGTCGTTAATTTTAGCTTCAAGAGGACAATAATATGTTAGCTAAATATACATTATATAGATAAGACTATTTATCGAGGTAATGTCTTCAGAAACAGAAATAATTAACATAAATCAAACGTCACTAATACGAGAGTATACGTTCTAACATCTCAAACTAAACTTTCCACCATCTCCGTGCTTTCCATGGTAAACAACATCGCTGTTGCCAGATCGAGAGCACGAAAAGACTAAAAAATATGCATCCGTTGTTTATTTTGCTTTGTTTATTTCGTTGGCATGATAAAATGTCGCACATTTTTAAAGGAGCCAAATTAGCGCCATAAAGGCTGTTCTCCGAAGAATAACATTGCTGCATTCGATATGTTAGCTTCTTCTGTATTTTAACTAATCACTCGTAAAGCGTTTTAACAAAATTTATTGAAAGATAAATCGTACTCTTAACTTATTAGGTCTACACGTAACTTATTCTTAAAAGTACGTATTACAACTGATGTTCTTACTGCACCGTACATATTTCTTTTTGAAAATCCATAGAACGACCATGAGGTTAGAATAGATCATGGAGGTTAGAATAAAAGGAGGGAAGGTTCGTAATTTCCTCCACTATCTGAAAATGAAACCTACCTAACAAGCAGCAGCTACATTTGTGAACTCAAAACACCGCGTTACGGCAATGAAGCATGCTTATGTTCCATGCATGTATTTTCCAGTAAAAATATACTAAATTCACAATGAAATCGCTTGTTATAAAGTAATGTGTTGGAAATCATAAAGATATAGTGCGAAATTTAAGTGCGTACATATATCATTAAAGCCTTTAAAATGCTATTACTGAATATTTCAAGGATTTATTTCAGTTTTATTAGCTACCTCTTTGGTTTGCTTTTCAATAATTATACCTAGAATTATATTTTATTCAATTATGTGCTATTTTTAATTAACACTCTTTGTTATACAGCGTTAATAACATTATAAATGAAACGATTTATAATGTTATTAACGCTTATTATCATTTATTCAATACGTACCCCGATAGGCTACTATCCCTCAGCAGGGAAACAGTATCACAGCTGTCTCCCTAGACGAAATACGTCATCGGATGACAACCATATTCTGATCTATCATAATTAGAGTTACTGGAGACTACTCTTCATAGGAGCCTTAACCATAATGAGCTGTTTTTTCCTTGTTTAGCGTCAAGGCTGTTCTCCGAAGAATATAAGGCTCTTGCTTTTTTTCAGCATTGGCCCGTCGACTCAGACGAACGCAGTTCGCAAACGTCAGGCAGCCGCGCGGTAGCGCTATGCCAGGCTAACAATGTTGACGATTTTAGATCTGGTAATGTCTCAGCATAGAAGAGGGAGAACATTAGGTTGAAGAAGTCGTAAGGAAAAGCAATTATAGAGTTTTCGAAGTAGACATAAAATCTATCACATCGATCAGGAACAGTGTAGAAAGCGGAAAAAGTCGTCGATGGTATGTTTCGGGGCTACACCATTGGCGACACTCAAATTAGGCTAGAGAGTGCAAGTAAGATGAGAAGTAAACTGTAACTAGGGTGAAGCAAAAATTAAGGAGTGCAAAAAATACCCAGCAGTCCGAACCAAAGCAAGAGATGGTGTCAAAAGTTAAATATATTAGTGTATATTATATAGGTTCCACATGCTCTTTGAAATTCAGATTGAATTTTCATTATTTCCAGTAATTCCATAAGATTACTACCGTTTGACAAACTACTAGAATTTATGTCATTTCCACCGTTGGTGAGATTTATAGAAAAATTTAAATCCATAGCAGCAGGTTCCGAAAAGATTACTGGCATTTTGTTCTTCAATACCCGATTTTTTAAAGACTGAGCATAACTCACATCATTATGGCGATTAGAAGAAGGCATTTTAGGTCTCTTAAGGCTAGGAAATTTTTCGCAACCCCTATACGAGGCTGAGTGACCCTTTTTTCCGCAGTTGCAGCACTTAGGGACATCCAAGCGTCCTTTATCGTAGTCCTGAGTCTATGATGTCCAGCGCATTTCACGCATCGTGGGGAAACATGAAAATTCTCCGAGGAGTGGTGCCATTTCTGGCAGTTAAAGCACTGCGGAACTTGGAATGTAGAAACATATTTTTCCACCGAAAGGAAAAACAGACACAGGGCAGTCAATTTATGGATATGATCGAATACTTCATTTTTGAATAACTGTACTTGAAATAAGGGCATGGGAGCCCAAATCCTATTTTTTGTCCGCTGCACTACTTTACGAATCTTGAATCCTTGTCTAACTAACTCACCTTTAATTTCGTAGACAGGATGACACGCAAAATCGTGAAACGTTCCATATTTTTTTATTTTAGCTGTACCGCCAAAAAAAGGACCCGCTACTTCTACTCGGCCAACGCTTTCCGATGAACATCTGCGAATACTGTTATCTAAATTAGATCCAACAAAGTTGAAAGAAATTTATGGAGAAAATTCAAAGCAGAATCAGACTGACTTGCGAGCTGTGGAGCCTCCCAGAACGGTGACGATTAAGAGAAGAAAAAGCCGAAGCCTGATGGAGAATCTACAATGAAAGCTGATGACTCTGACACTGAATGGAAGCAGCCCCGGAATTCCGTCAAGCAGCCTGAAGTTCCTGAACCCATGGAAGTAACGCAGGCAAACAGATTCGACACATTAGTAGGAGAAGATCCCTAAAGCGACGTAGGCGGAGCAAGTGCAGTAGAAACACCCCCTACCCTAGTCTTCCAAAGCGAAGTGACTGATTGGCTGCAAGTAGATAAGCTACTGCAAAAGTGCTGTGCAGAGGCATACGATTATAGTGTGAAGAACAGGAGCGTTCACGTCCATGTGAAGAACTCGACGGATTACAAGAATACTTTGAAAGTATTACGTGACAAATCCATACCCTTTCACACGTACTTACTCCAGAGCGAAAGGAACATTCGTGCAATTTTAAAGATCCTGAGGACTTCGTAAGTCAACATCCTGAGGATATACTATTCAAGTCTCAATGTCCCGGGATATATGAAGATCTCCTCAGGATGTTGATTTTCAGATATCCTGAGGACATCGTAAATCAACATCTTAAGGATGTCCTGTTCAAGTCATAATGTCCCGGGATATATGAAGGTTTCCTGAGGATGTTGTTTCTCAGATATCTTCAGTATTTACTTTTTATGGAAGCTGATATCTGAAAATATTAAAATAAAGTAACCTTGTACCACACTCAAGTCATATTATAAGAATCGAAATCTTACTCTATGGATTACTATTCTACATATACGAAATTTTAGTTTACAGACGCAGTTAAAAACTAGTCTGTACGATGTTTATTTTGCTTTAATTTGAGTTTACAGACAGAAGAATAATTTTATTGGGCTAAAAAATTCATTGCAGTTTTTCGTTCATTTTCTGGCAAGTTCTAATGAGAATTAGTCTTTCAAAGCGATTGAGGTAAGAAGTAACTTATTTTTTACTTTTCTGTAATAGGAAAATGAGGTTTAAGAATGGGAAGAAATAACATTAAGTTCTTACCCTCCTCAAACCTCACTTTGCTACCTCAGAGAGCTCTTTAACCATACAAATATCCGGTCTTTTCTAAACAAAGCGAGTAAAAATATATCCAGCACCCCCCCCCCCCCCCCCCCCCCCCCCCCCCCCCCCCCCCCCCCCCCCCCCCCCCCCCCCCTCTCCAATCTTATACGTTATGCCGGCAACGCTACATAACTCCTCATAATTTAACAATAATTACTACTTTATTAATTTATTTGTAACCATCCAGAAAATGCAGTAAACACGTTTCTTCAAGGGAAATAACACAAATGTTCAAATGCTGTTATGAAAACTCAAAATTAGATTACGGATTAAATAGATGTTCAAACTTTAAATTTCAAAGATTTAATTTTTAAATTAAACGCGTGTTCTTTAAACTCAGCAATTTTATCACTTCATTTTATACTATAAATAACAATTGAAGTTGAAAATCTTAAATCTTTGTTTTCATTACTATCAATTTTCTTAAAACTGCGGCACAACTTTTCTTTACTTTTGCGAAACCGAGCTCTGCTCAGAATGTAACACTTCTAAGCACTTTTTCTGTAGCCGATGCCCCAAGAACATTTCTCTTTTGTTAACGTGGCAGACTTTCCCTTCTTTGTATCCCCCTACAAGGGAAACATCCCTTCACGACAAAGGACGCAGAATGCCACCAACGGTGTTAATTGCTCCTTAATAGGGATACCGCTGAAGAATCGCACAAAGTGGAAAAGTACACGTACTTACTTTCTGATTTCTAGAATTCAGCTATTCTGCTGAAGAATTGCCGTCGTTCCAAATTCTGTTCCAGTTAAGAACTGACTCCTCCAAACAAGCGTTACATTGAGAAAGTGCGAAAAGTAAATTTTAAAATTTTTTCTTTTAGTCTACAAAAATGATCAGAACTAAAAAAAATTATCTCAGATATCTAAAAGACGGATTTATAGGATAATAAATCAACGTATCTTATCGGATTCGTCAGAAGATGAAGTAGCATTTAATTATGAAAAAAGCCTGTGCCAAATTTTCGCGCTAGCAAATATTCTTTAAGTTTCATTTCAAACTGTGATTCGAAATATGAATTTTTATGTCTCAAGAAGAACTAACTCATGACGATCATCCCATTTTAAGGAATATTCCAAATATATAGGACTAATAAATATTCCGTTAGACTTTATGCGCCTTGCGTGCTTAGGAGTAGTACGAAAAATGATTACTATTAGGGTAGGCGAAGGCGGCATCTTACAAGCACCATTGCCACATAAAAATGAACTAATTTTTAAAAAAATTGACCAGTTTTTAAAGTCTTATTGAACCAATTGAATTTGCAAGAAAAACCAATGAATTGAAACACTGGAAAGCTACAGAATACCGTCAATTTTTACTGTACACTAACCCACTTATATATATATTTAAAAATTTTAACAAAAAGTTATATGATAATTTTTTACTACTTCGTATTATGCAAAATACTTATGAAAAATACAGAATCAAACGGAAATTGATGAATATGCACTGTTTCTATTAAATATCTTAGTAAATTTTGGGCTTTATTATGGAAAACAGTATATTTCTCATAATGTTCACGGCCTACTGCATATTTGCGAAGATGTAAAAATGTTTGGGCCGTTAGATAATTACAGTG